ATCACATAATGATAAGTGAGAAACATTTTATGAAATAGATGGAGTATTTTTTGTCAATTTTGAAAGTACTAAATGGGATGCAATATCATTTAAAACATCCAACTTCATCTATCATTCCTCATTAGTGATAATTCAATTTTTATAATCGACTCATAATATGAAAGCACACCAATTGTTCAGAAAAATGTCAAAGTGAATGTCAATTTCTTTTTTAATGGAATATTTTATTATTTGTTGCACTTGTATAAAATATTGACTTATACATGACTCAATTTCTTGTGGTGATTATATTTTTCTAGCTTTATTCTACATTTTCACTTTTACAATTTTAACAAATTCAGATGTTTTTTGTTTTGCATTGAATTTGATGTTTAAAGATTTTTAACAATTTTAACAAATACTTTTCCAATGATTTAATATTTCTATAAAAAAATAATAAACATAGCTAATTTTATAAAGTGTAATATATTTAATTATTACGCGTGCCAGGGCCGTCCCAGGGGGTAGAATCTGTGCCACTGCACAGGGCCTCAAAAACAAGAAGGCCCAAAAAAATTAGTAATAGTATTATGTAGTAGCAGCAGCCCAAGTCCAAAATAGAGAAACCCAAAAGATCACTCGGGCCTCGGTGTCCATACCAGAGCGAAGAGTTCAAGACCGAAACCTTCAACCTTGTGTCGATGAAATTAAATCATCGCATATTCACAACACTACAACAGACAGCAGTCGTCGACTCCATCTCTGATTCTCGATCCATGACTCTTTGGGACTTCGGTTCAGCACCAGCGCTCTAGCACCGCATGCCAACAGTCCAGTCCACTGTCCAGAATCCAGGTGATCCAGCAATGCACGTCAAGTCTGAAGTCTCCACTGCGACACTTCAGGTAAGTTAATTTATTTCACTATTTTAATTGATTTTCTTAATTTCATATATGTTTAGATTATTAGTAGAATAGTAGATTAGTTATTATTTATGCTTTAGGGTTCCTAATCTATTATTCCGTATGAAATTTAACAAATTAGGTATTGACTATTGAGGTTGTTGGTTTTTATTTTGTGTAATTGTTTGATGAATTAATTAAACTATTTATGTTTAATAATTTGGAGTAAATGTATGAAGAATCAAAGATGCTATTTCTTATTGCTTTTTAGGTGGAGGGTTTAAAGTTATTAAGTCAAAATTAATTTTTTTTAACTTCAATTTACAAATATGTGCATGATTATAGGAATTATGTTTCCAGAGAAGTATAAATCTGGACATGAGAAGCGTCAAAAGAAAAGAAGAATTGAAAAATTAACTTTGTCCCAAAAAAGAGCTCTTGGTAAATTCATTATCAAAGAAGCTGGAGAGGCCACAAAGGATATTGATGTTGATGAAATTGTTGAAATAGCAGATCATTGTGCCAATGATCCAAATTCTAAATCCGTTAGTAACGACAGTGTTGAGATTCCCAATAATGAAGACATCAGAAATGATATTCTTGATGATAGGCCAAATTATTCTGCTTTGTTTGACATATATGATCCAAGAAATTGGGATTCTTTTGATTCAAAAATGATAGACATTTTGGCGGAAAAATGGAAAATGGTCCTAAAAGAGATTTAACTTTTGTCAAAGGTCCTAAGAATAAATTCTCTAGAAGATTCTCAACCGTGTTTCGATTCGCATTTGATGTGTGTTGAGATTGACTTTTGATGGTTTTTCTATCTTAAAGGTGTCATAAGTCTCATTATTAGCTCAAGTCATATTTTACCGGGCGTTGGTTCATGTTTGCTATTTTTGGAGTCAAAATCAGGGAATTTAAGCCCGGCGCTGGCATTTGAGAAACAATTGGGATGAGTGGAGACGCATTTGAGAGTGAATGGAGAGCTTTAGAGGTCAACGGAAGATTTATGATGAAGATTTGATGACAAAAGAGCTTTAGGGTTGATCACGGAAGCAAACGGGAGCATTTAGAGCAAGAAATGGAAGATTTTGATGAAGAAAAGGCCATGCACGCCGTTCCTGCTAGGGAGCACGTCGTGCGTTCGTGGCAGTGAGCGGGAGATGAGAGACGGGGTTGGGCGCGCCATGCGTGCCATCGTGCACGCCGTGCCTGGAAGCTGGGAAACAAGGCACAACTACTGCCAGTCGGGGCACACCGTGCAAGGGAGGCACACTGTGCCCGACACCGAGACGCGCTATTGCTCCGGAGGCACGGACGATGGGCACACCGTGCCTGTGCGCCGTGCCTGCGCCGAGAAGTCCTAATCAAGCCCGATTTCGTTTGTTTTCTATAAATAAAGCCCCTAAATCCCCATTTTAAGGAACAAAGCTTAGAGAGAGGTCTACAACGAAATTTTGAGTACTCTTTCACTTTGTTATTCACGACCCTGGGATAATTTGTAAGTTCCATATTTTTAATTAATGACAATTAATTCTTTCTTTCCCAATTCAGATGATTCTTCAATTATGAATTGTGAGTAGTTTTAATTGTGGATTTGAGATTGATGAAGGGGTTAACTATGATCTAGAGTTAAATTCTTGAAGGATTAATTGCATGATCTTTATTTAGTTTGTGTTTGAATAATTTAACTATCATCTTTTGTAATCTGGAACGGCCGCTAGGATTATAATTGTACATAGAATAAATTAAGAGAGCTCTAATTTATTCTGGGACACTTTTACACACACTTAATCGTTCACTACAAGATTAGTAACGATTAAGGGGTCGTACGCTCGCTCATGTTGGCAATAATTTAGGATCCTCTCGCATGAGAGATCAGTCTCGTTCCTTAAATTATTGTACTCTACGTGGTGAGAGTGGTAAGAATTTAGTATTGATCAACGTTGCTCAATTAAATAATATTCATGTGATTAAGCCTGATCAGCCAGAAATTTGATTACCCCGGAATCAATCCTTGTTCCATATCGTCATTAATTAGAAAGAACCCATTTATTTTAATCGTTTATTCACATTTTAATTTTCCAACAATTCAAATCTCGCACAATTGCATTTATTTTATTTTATTTTATTTTGTCGTTGAATTTATTTAATTCTGAATTCTCTTTTTCCGTCCCTGTAGAGACAATACTCGTACTTTAGCCCTATACTGCTACATATTTTAAGTGCGAGAAAACTCACATCAATGAGGACTTGGATAAAGTTGAGAATGAGGTTTAAAAAGAATGAGAAATTTGATAAAGTAGCTCATGATCTACTTCTAACAGAAAAAAAAATTTGGAGGCAATTGTTGTTTCGGGTAATTGCAACGGTGAAATATATATAAACTTAACTTAGCCTTTCGTGGAACAAATGAGCGGCTCCATCAGAATAGTAATGAGAATTTCTTGGGATTAATTGAAAAGATGGGTGAATTTGATCATGTTATTCAAGAACTTATTCGGCGCATTAACAATAAGGATACGCGTCACCATTATCTCAGTCATAAGATTCAAAATGAATTGATAGAGATGCTTGCTTCTGGAGTAAAAAACTAGGATCGTAGCAAAAATCAAAGAAGCTAAATATTTTTCCGTGATATTAGATTGTACTCTTGATGCTAGTCACCAAGAACAAATGACTTTGATGTTAAGATGTGTTGATGTCACCACATATCTGGTTAAAGTAGAAGAATTTTTCTTGGAATTCTTGGTTAGTTGTGAATGATACAACATGTCTTGGTCTTTTTGAAATGCTACAAAGTGTGTTGAAGTCTCTTGATCTCGATATTGGTAATGTTAGAGGACAAGGATATGACAATGGGTCAAATATGAGAGGTGCACATCAAGGTGTGCAAAAAAGGCCCTTGGATGTGAATCCTAGAGCATTTTGTACTCCTTGTGATAGTCATAACCTTAATTTGACTTTGTGTGACATTGTAAGTTGTTGTAGAAAAGTGAGGATTTTTTTTTGAAGAAGTGCAACAAATTTACACACTCTTCGCTAATTCTACCAAAAGATGGCAAATTTTGAAAAAAATGTGAAATGATTAATGCTTAAAACCTTGTCAAACACTTGTTGAGAAAGTCGTGTGAAAAGTGTGAAAGCAATAAGATTTCAAATCAATGACATTCAAGAAGTCTTGCTTGAATTGACAGAGACAGACAATGATTCTAAAATACAAAGTGAAGCTAAATCATTAGTTACAAATGAACTTTGTAATTTTAAATATTTTCTATCCAAAGTTATTTGGTATGAAATATTATACACTGTGAATTTGGTTAGCAAAAGTTTGCAAATCAAAAGATATGCTTCTTGATGTTGCTATTGTTGAAGTGAAAGCGCTAATTTCTTTTTTTGAGAAGTACAAAGAAAGTGGGTTTTCTAGTGCTATGCATGCTGCTAAAGAAATAGTCAATGAATTGGAAGTTGAACCGGTGTTTCGTCATAGGCGTGTTATCCGTAGAAAAAAGCAATTTGATGAGAGTGCTGGAGAATCTTCTGTATCATCCACGATAACACTGGAAGAATTGTTCACGGTTGAATACTCTGTCTACATAGTAGATCAATCTATTGGCTCGTTAAGGCGAAGATTTGAGCAATACATAATGTATGATGAAAACATGTTTGGGTTCTTGAGAAGTCATGTTTTATGTTGCTTTGTTTTTTGTTGATGTCTTTGGTTTGAAGTCTACAGATATGATTGACAATTCTGTTAGATATTATGTCGTCATAATGATCTATATATGACCAGTGACTGCTGTGTCACACCCGCTTGGTGGTTAGCGATTCATATTGCTCTTTCAGTGATCGTCTCTGAATCTAATCGTAGGGTTGATAGTGTTAATTGGTTAACGATAGTTGTTGTCAGGGTTGATCTTTTTGAGTTTATTGTAACGATCCGATTCCTAATGATATTTATATAAGAAATTTGTTTTGACGATAAAAAAAGTATTTGATGTCTTTATTTTTTATTTTTTAAATACAATTAATAAATAAAACATCCATGGTGTCATTAAAATCGGATCGTTCTGTGGATCAGGCCAGGCCTATTATTGCTCATAGGAAATATTACCAGGCCAATTAACCATAGAAGGCCCCACCATAGAATCGTCAAACTCCCTTCTAAAGCCCATGAAATAAAGTGGGGAGTTTTTTTCGCGGCGGCGGCCACCTTCATCCTCCGAGCAAAGTGAGGAGAATAGGAAATGGCACTGCTCACTTCACTCTCCCTCACCCGTACCGCAACTCCTACCTCTCTATCAACTTCAACGCGTATTTTTTATGATCACGTCAATCTCCGCTCATCGTCGTCTTCTTTTTCCGGCAGCCGCCAACTCCCCCTCTCCGGTATGCCATTCTTTGGCCACTTCCAAAAGCAATTTGTGGTTTATGCGAAAAGATTATCTGGATTAGAAGAGGCCCTAAGAATGAAAAGGTATTTCTATTTCGTTTCTATTTGACATTTACTATCACGGGATGCCTGGTTGTAGTGTGACAATTTGATCTTCGTGTTGATCTGCATTTATATGGAAATTAGGGAAAACATAAGTTGATAAAATTGTATGCTGAATCAGGGAGCGCGAACTGAAAGGCTCTAACAGCACTCAGAGAAGGGTTCCTTTGAAGCGAGGACGGGTATCACCAGAGCTTCTTGTTCCTGATCACATAGTGAAGCCTCCTTACGTGGGCTCAAGAGAGTTGCCAGAAATCGCGAATGAACATCAAATTCATGATGCTGAAGGAATTTCTCGTATGAGAGCTGCAGGTGAGCTTGCTGCCCGGGTGCTAGAGTATGCAGGAACATTGGTTAGGGTGAGATTTATTGACACTCATTGTTTAATTCGAGAGCTTCTTTCACAAAATGTTTATTACAGAAATGTTAAACTTGAGTCTAATACCTCGAATGTGGACGTGTTGTTTGCACAATGAGATGTGTGGTTTAGAGGATCATGCTGTTATGAAGAAAAAATTGTTCTTTTCTTCAAGAATCCTAACTTCTTATATGTAGTTCTGCTAACAAATCTACTTGTATTTTATGGTTGCGTAAGGCATTCATCCAGAATACAATACACTGCAATTATTCTTCTCTCTATTTTGCCCTATCTTTCAAAAGAAAATTTAAGTTGTTGTGAATATTTGCTAAATTTCGTTTTTGATGCTTAGATCCTGTTAAGACTCAAAGTAATTATTAGACCTTTAAACAAAATGTGGCCTTTATGGTTAGTGGCATTATGTGAAACTAAATTGCGCATTAGGTGAGTTTGAAATGTGCACTAGATGAAACTAAAATGTGCAGAATAAAAGGTACGATGTGATGTTATTTTTGTACCTTTTATTTTGCACATTTCAATTTCACCTAATGCACATGTGAGTTTAAATTTTAATTCCGCATATTTCAATATCATCTAATGCACATTTCGGTTTCACCAAATGCACAATTCAGATCCACATAATTCAATCCAACGGTCCAGATTCATTCTCATTTCTCTCCTAAGATCCGTTCTTACCGAAACCGCTCCCTATATATATATATATATATATATATATATATATATATATATATATATATATATATATATATATATATATATATATATATATATATATATATATATATATATATATATATATATAAATATATAAACATAAAAGTGGATCTATTTATTAATATCTCGATCCCTTTGCATATGTATTACTATGAAGTAATTAAGTAACACCTTTGATATTCATGAGGGATCGAGAAATTAATGAATAGATCGAAAAATATGACTTTTCAATTGATAAAATTGAAACACAATCTTAATTTGGACAAAAATGATAAAATATTAATTAATAGATTGAAATACCTTTGATATATAAATAAACATAAAAGTGGATCTATTTATTAATATCTCGATAGGGGTTGCTAGAAGTGGTATCAACGATGACCAGTACTATTGATTATTTATTTTATATTTTGTTTTAACTTGTACTCTGTATTAAAAACAATTCCAGGTACTCTTACTATATCATTGTTTAAGTTTCACTCAAAATAAGATTTACTTATTCTAATTTGATGCTCCTTAAATTCTTTTTTTTTTGCCTTCATTAAAAAGAATAGAGGTCTGGCTTTTTGTTTTGTTGAATATTTAAATGTAAGAATTGAATTGAAAATGACTCCAGAATAAATAAACTAATTTAAAAGGTAAAAAAAATGAAAAGGTTGGAAAAAGTACCTATAATCAAAGTAAACACACAAGACACTACCATATTTAATTGTCAGGATGCAGTTGTATACGCATATAGGAGGAACTGACTAAGACACAACAATGTGTAATTCTGTACACAACATTTCATATGTGTAATGGATATGATCAACCCTATGCAACCAACGCACCTTGAGTATCATGCCTACTCCCAAAAACGACATAGTTTTGAACAATTTTTAAAAAATTGCGTGAACAGTACACGCGTGTACAATAGCTGTCTTTTTTCTTTTTGTCTCAGTAGCATGAATGATGTAACTCGCGTGTAAAGATATGTAACTCACGTTATTGATCAATGTAACTCAAGTCCGTTCGAAATGTAACTTGTCAAATACATAGTATAAGAAATAAAATATTGATTTCAATGTAATCAATGAAAAATGAGAGTCTAATTGCACAATTGCTTTAGGTAAAACGGGAATTTTTTTTTTAATATCATGGCAATAAAAAATGATTTTTTTGAAAAGAACATTTTTTTTTGTTTCAATAGCAGGGGTTGATTTTTTAATGTAACTCGTGTTATTACAAATGTAACTCGCGTTGATGACAAATGTAACTTATGTGTATACAGAATGTAGCTTGTTGGAAAATTGAACAATGAATTTTTTTGTGTGTTTGAGATATTATAAACATTGATTTCAATGTAAACAATGAAAAATTGATCCTAATAGCTTAATTATTTTTTTATAAATAGTGAATATGTTTTATTTTTAATATTAGAGCAATAAAAATGATATAGTTGGAGTTTATTCCGTGGTGTAACTCTCATACATTAAGATGTAACTCGTGTATATTAAGATGTAATTCACGTACATTAAGATGGAACTTGCACAGACAAAGATGTAATTTCATGATATATTATCAAATGTAACTTCAAGAATCAAAATAAACAAACTCAATGTCTTAAAAATCTCTCAAAAATTATAAATTCGGTAGTAATTTCAATTGAAGAGAAAGTAAAAAAGTAGTGTATGACTTTTTTTGGCAAAAGCAGTGTATGATTATTAATGCATTGTACTTATTTTATGTGGATTAATAAAATGTTGTAATATTTTTTTAAAAGAAGTTAATTGATCAGTTATAATTAAATTAGTTAAAAATAAAGATAAGTAAAATCACAATTTAAGTTTTTTAGTATTTTGATGGAGATGAGAAAAGAATTGAAGAAAATAAAAGAAAAGTAAAGAGAAAGAAATAGCACACGTGGAGCATTGTATGACTTGAGAGAAGAAAGTGGGTGGACTTAAGGGAATTTGGGAAAAGAAACAAAAAACATGCGTTGGGCTCATAATAGAAAGAAAAACAGTATCGTATGTGATACGGGCATACATATGCCGGTAACACGGTATAATTTGCCAAGCCCATGATGAGTTTAGTGGGTTTCCTTGTAAATCAGTGGTGGAAGACCATACTCCTGGAAAAAAATGAACATAAATTAGAGCTTGTTTTGTAATACTAAAATGAACTTTATTGATTGATTCTGTTGAAATTTATGAAGTTATAGCTGAAATGATTGAATTAGTTTGTTATGTTGATTTATGAAGAAATTATATTTAAAATTTATTTTGTTAATAAAATAAATAAATAAAATATGAAAAAACAACTAAAATGATCATCTACAGTAACTTCTACCAATCCAATCAGAAAAATAACTTCAATGTTATCTTTTTATTAACAATTCAACGAGCTGAGGGATATATAAACTACTTATTCAATGAAAAAAAGATAAGTCATTTTAATTTGTAGAGTCACCAAATTGACTTTTAATTTGTAGATAATGAAAAATAAATGAATATATAATACACTGACCAAGTCTGGTCCCTAAACCTTTCTGCTTAGGTCCCTCCCCACCTGACAAAGTATACAACATAAGTCAGCTACACACATCTCATGAATTCCCACTTGTATGGAATGGTATGGCAAGCACGTAAAAAAAGGTAATGTAGAAATATATACTTGATCATTGGTACGTATACATTAATACATACCGTACATCTACGTTATCCTACCAGTAGCCCCTCAACTTGCCATTCCGCAAATACGTAGTATTTTTTTTAATCTATTCCGCAAAAAATTACTCCGTATTAAATTAAATTATTTATATTTTTTTTCTTATCAGCATATATAAATGTATATATAAATATGATATCAGTTTGACTCCGATATCATAAATTTATTGGCTATATGTCTAATCGTTGTTAGTCATGGCTAACTATATATGGAGGCGTCGAAAAAAAGACTCATGATCCATAATAACAATTACGTTGTATGTAATGTTTTATATACCAATATCTATATTTAGAGCACCTCCGATCCATCATAACAATTACGTTAAAATACAGCGAGTAAGGAAGAGTAATGTAGATTAAACATTTTTATTTGTTGTTCTCTTTCTCTTTTATTCAATTTGCTTGAATAATGAATTATGTAGTTTTAATATAAGTATTAATAATTTTTAGTAATTTTTAATTGAATTGTTTATTGAGTACGGGTATTTTAATTGAAAATGTTTTTGCTTTTTACTACTCCAAGTAAAGAGAAAATTAATGAATTGCTTTAACTAGTAAATTGGTCGCTCATTATTGCGCGAATGTCATATGTCCAACTCTTAGTTTTAATAAATTGTGTAAAACGATTTCAACATAAGTATCTCTTAAATGTTTATTTTAGAAGTTATATAATACTCCCTCCGTCCCTCTATAATTGTCCCATTTTTTCATTTTTGGATGTCCCCCTATTATTGTCCCATACCATATTTGGTAACATTTGTGTGGCTCTAATTCATTCTCACTTTATTTTCACTTTATCAACTCATTATCAACCACAATTCTACTTTTCTTAAAAACCACACAACTCCCTCTCGTACCAATATTAGGGGGACGGAGGGAGTATCATATTAAATTTCACACAAAAAAATATTAATTTTCACAAAAACGGAGATGTAGTTGAATTGGATGTCGTTCCTATAAAACACTATGAACATTGATAAAGTAATTAAAGTGTGAAAGTAAGACAATTGAAGAAATTGATTGAAGCAAGAAACATATTTAAATAAAAGTTTTATATTACTTTCAATATTCAAAATGCCTTTGAAAGTATTGGTGTATATAATAGCTCTCTTTTTTTACTCCAGGGGGGTCTGGGGGAGGGGGGCTGAGGGGGTCTGAAGTAATCAGGGCTGAAACTCACTCCATTGAATTTCAAATCCTTGTATGTGCCTATCGGGAATCGAACTCGAGACATCTCACTAGGCACGGTAACCTTGCAACCAGCTGGACTGGAATGCTTGGTTGGCGTATATAATAGCTCAAATTAACATTAAATAATGGTCATATAAATGTTATTTGAAGCAATTTGAGAACAATTATTCAAAACTTATCACGATTAAAGAAACTGGATCCCACCTCTACCAAACTAAGAGCCTGTTTAGTGACATTGTCTTTCGGCTTATCATACTTATCAAACAACTTTTTGATCAAACATATAACTTTTGATTTTGCACGCCGAGTAGTGTTATAATAAGAAAAGGTAAGGTTGGAGTTACTTTTCTGGCTATATTGGCTGAAGTTGTTGTAGATGTCCATTTTAGCTATTTTCATATAATTTTTTCTTCATTTTATTAATAAAATTATTTTAAATATAATTTCTTTCATAAATCAGCAAAACCAGCTAATACAACCAATTCAACAAGAACTTAATAAATCACAACAAAATCAGGCAATTCAACCGATCTTAGTGTTACCAAACGGGCTCTAAAATTGTTTAATGAAACAAAAATGCAGAAAACATATAATAGGAGGATATTTTGTTTTTTTGTAGTGAACCCCATATGAAAAGACAAAACTGCCCTTGATCAGAAATATGTTGAAGACCAACAGAATTATTAAT